TTGGGTAGTGATACTCTGTTCTTGACTTTTTAAATGGGAGCGTAGATGCTTATTCACAATGTATCATTATGCGGCATTTGGGAAGGAGAAAATGTTTGGGCGTGACATTTCATTCCCAGCATTGGTCTTTGGATCAAGGTTGCTATTTTTCATTTGAGATTTCTGGGTAATTTTCCACAATAGCACAGCATAACAGATCACAATGATTGTGGTATAGATGCATCCCTCTCGCTGTCTCGTATCCAAATATACCGAAACTATTGTGCAGATTTCCCAAAAGCCCCACATTCCTGGCCTTGATAGCATGGGAGGCATGAAAAGTACCAGTGAAATTGCAGGTAAAATTTGAGTAATACACACACAATTAGTAACTATGCTGTTAACATCACTATATTACAACCCCTTTCCTAGTGGCTGCTGCCCCCCATTCCCCACACAGGAAAACAAAGAATCCTCCACATATTCATGGCAGGAGAGAGCATATGACCAACATGCGGAAGCGCCCAATACAGAGTCGTTATAACGCTCTCTCCTACTGGAAATACTTTGTGGATTCTTTTGTCCTCTTTTTTGGGGGTGGGGGGCGGCAACCCCCAGAAGGAGGTTTGCAATATAGTGACTGGTTCTGTGTATGTTATTCATTTATTATCTTGCAATTTTCCAGGTACTTTTCATGCCCACCCCTACCAGAAAAAACTAAAAGGTGACAGTATAGGTACACTTTTACAAGAAACCCACATATCTGCCAAAGGCTTTTGTACCATTGATCAATCCCCCAGTAGATAATAATGCTGTATTAAGTATTTTTCATAGCCTACAGGCTTTATGCATTGGCAGAGGTTTACAGACTTCTACCACCTGTATATTCTGGCAATACAAGGCTCATGGACCTCCTGTCAATTTGTTGTCAAATAAGGAACATGTCCAGCCAGCCATATCTTGCTGGAATATGCACGTTGGGGAGGGAGGTTGTAGTTTGCCAAAGAGCTGAGACTGCGGACTGACACTGCCAAATCAGACTGAAAAATATACTCTTTCCATTACAGCCCAGAGCAAGTTTCAGTTATATTTGGATGGAATGCACTTTATATAGTTATTAGTAAAAGCACCACTTTGAAAGTCACTGTGTATGTATTTGCATACTTTCCCATGATATATTTATATGTAGAAAAATTTAGAGATGATAACCTTTACCATCTATTAATAAATGTTATTGCAAAATTTTCAACTGACAGAGCACATAGTTGTACTGATATCCAAATTAGACAATTTTTAAATTACTGTAGACTCTGTTTTATTAAATTTCAATCACATTGATTTAGAGCAGCGATTGTTAATATGTTTTTGAGAACTGGTCACAACAATTTCATGTGATTTGAACCCTTTCAACTGGATTGAGTTTAAAGAAATTACAGTAGAATACTATTACAGTAACTTAATATGTGTATATATTTTTCTTTCTCTCTTGCTCTTTATGCATATGTGTGTGTGTTTTTTGTTGTTGTTTTTCTGTTATTATTATTGTTGTTGTTATTACTATAATTATAGTTATATGTTTCAGCATCAGCATAGATCCTTTATCTCTTTGGTGTTTAAACTAATAATATTTGAAGATCTCCAATTTATACCCATATTATGTTGACAGGACAGTTGTTTGCAATTTTGTATATATGTAATTTTCATGTCAAAACATTTGCAGTTAAAGATGGAATCAGAAAAGCTGTTTCGTAGAGAGCCTCCTAACATACAGAAGGAAGAAGGAGGTGGGGACATCCGCAAAATTTTTGATGATTACACAAAGGTGAAGGATCTGCCATTGAAAGGAGAGGATGGCAAAATTAGAACACTACTTGGAATGCGAAAGCAACGACCAATGGGCCGCCTGTTCACAGTGAGTGTGGAGGTAAGATTTAGCATATAACTTTATAATTGTTCATCTTTTTGCCATGTACATGAAAGATAAGGAAATTTGACGCAATTATTATAGTCAAAGATATGATATGTTGTAAATATTTTTCAGAGAATTCAGAGTATAATTGCATTTTTAGGTTTACATAGGAGTGTGTAATGAGCATCCTGTAGAATGATATTTAATATTATCAAGAGTGTAATAAAGGAAAGTTTCAGGACCAAATATAATGTGGAAGTGAGTCAAGACCAAATATTAATCTCTGAAAAAACTTATTTAATTTCTTGAAGAAAGCTTTAATGCCATTTTTACTTGAAAGGAGATTGTAGGCTTTCTTGTCTTTTACATCAAATGGGAAAGTAGATAATTGTAGTAATTATTATACAGATGAATAGATTAATGGATTACTGGATAGACAGACAAATCTGTTACATGGGATATTAAGCCATTAAATGGATAGACCAATGAATATAGAATAGATAAATATGTTGATTTAAGTGCAATGTATCAATGTATATTTTTATTGTTAAAGATTATAAAACATCTTGCTTATAGTGATATGTAAACCTCATTATCCTTTTATACAGTCAA